GTGAGCAGCACCAGCCATCTAGGTTTAAAAGAAAGATGGTCCCAGACAATTTTTTGCTCATTACAAAAGACTCAACACCCTAACAAAAAAAGATGTATGTCCGCTGCCTCAGATTGGCAATCTAAAAGACTGCTTACACTCCGCTTCGTACTTTTCTTAAGTAAACCTACCATCAGCATATTGGCAGATACCTATGAGCCCTTAAGACAAGGAGAAGATCGCATTCGTGACGCCTGATGAACCGTACAAATTCAACGTGATGTCATTTGGGCCCTGCGATGCCCCCGCCGTTTTTTAAAGATTTATGGAGTCTGTTCTTCGTGACCCTAAATTGGACGCGTGCTTATGGTACCTGAACGACTTCGGCATTTTCGGGCGTACCTTCGAAGACCATAACATCTGTTCGAGCTATGTTTTAGTCTGTGTCGCAAAGGCTGGCTTGATTTTGAACTCTGAGAAGTGCCAGTTTGGTGAACGACAAGAATTGGTTCTTAGGCGCCAAGTCCACACAGATGATGCCAGGACTGATACTCATAATATCGAAGCAGTCAACACAATCAAACTACATTCCCCGACACTAAAGGAACTTCGCAGCTTCTTGGGCTCATGTTCCTATTCGTCGCTTTGTACCCAGATTCGCGGACGTTGGGCACCTATTGACCATCTTCTCGTAAAAAGGCAGCCCGCAAGAGTGGACGCCTGAATGCGATACCGCATTTTTGAACTGAAACTTCTACTGACACCAGAACCTATTCTTCGTCATTTTGATCTGTCTGCTCCAACTGAAGTGCACAGTGCCACATAAAAAATTGGCATCGGAAGTGTGCTTGTTCGGCGCCACAATAATGCAGAGTATATAATTACTTATACAAGTTGACCTCTAAGAAAGGCTGGAAGAAAATTATATTGAGACACAGCGAGAATTTTTAGTGGCTGTATTCGCCATTCGATGTTTTTTCGTTACCTATACGGACGTCCTTTGACGATTGTGGCAGGCATCATTCATTACGTTGGCTTGTTACCCGCCGAGACCTTTCTGGCCACCTTGCACTATGAGCTTTACGCCTCCAAGAATTTCACTCCAAAATTTTGTACAGAAGTGAAAGACGTCATTTGGACGCTTATTGCCTTTCTCGCCTGCCTATAACTACGACGAAAGACACTGCAGATACCTTCTACCACTGTTTCGCTGCGGTTTTTCACACGTTTCCTGATGACAAGATCTTCAAGCGGAAACAATAAACGACTTATCATTAGACCCTTTGTTCGCTGATGCCCACACTCTCAAAGGCAGTTGTTGCCTTCGCCTTCATATGGACTGTTGTACAAGACTAATTATTGAGCAACTTGCGCAGGTTATTTACTGGTTGTAAATGAAAGTCATCGATGCGGCTTTCCCCATACTATACACGATAATCGAACGTCGGGACACATTGGGTTCATTCGCGCATTGAGCACACCAGCGTTTATACTTGCGTCTGTTGCGAGATTTCACGAAGCAATACGTCTCGAGCTCTCAGAAGTACCAGCGTCAGAAACGACCGATTCCCTACTACACAGAAACAGGCCGGCTACCATGCAGTAGAGAATATGGCATCAGCTCTAGAAATCCAAGAGCGGAATTATTAGTACAGTTCGCATAGCGTAATAAGCTACGGATCTTTAATAGCTTCTTCAGAAAACGGGCTAACCATTGGTGTACAGTGCCAACTCGTCTGTCTACAACGACGGAGCATCGCGCACGGAACAACCCTAGCGACATCTGTAGTCGCAAATACGCCACATCTGAGCATGCGTGGCTCCAATGATGTGCCTGCCCTGCAGTTTCTACCCTTCTTTATCTCCGTGGCCGCGATGGCTGCTTTGACCGTCGAGGCGCTGTCAACATTACAAAATCAAAATAAAGCAACAACCAAAAAGGAACATTCTCGCTTCGTGCTATCATATCGCAGCGACAATGATTTACTTCGTCTTTCTTGTTTTGTTTTTTTTTTCAAAATCCCTCAGAGCGCTTTCGACGGCCAAAGCGGTTGTTGCATCCGCGGCGATAAACAGGGATCAGTATTGCGAGGCAGGTACATGACTGGCGCCGCGCATGCTCAGATGTGGCGTATTTGCGATTGCAGATGTCGCCCGTGCTATTTCGCGCGTGACGCTACGTCGATATGTAGACAGCCGAGTTGAGCACTGTGCGTGGCGAAGTCTTAATGGCGGAACTAAAAATTAAATGGACTTCATTCTGTGTGTACACTCCATCATTGTACAGGGTATAAAAGTAGTTGGCAAGATCTGATGCTGTGACGATAAAATGGTAATAAGTAAAATTTAGTTAGGTTTTAAAAAAGCAAATGCATAAACTGATATGCAAGAAGCCACTTGATGAGCTATCGGTCAGAGGAAAAGTACTGAAATTATTTTCGCATCAAAATAGATTCTATGCAGAATAGCGGTAACCGACGTTAGCGTTGACACACTGAACATTATTCTTACGAGTTAGAGATAAGAGGTAATGGAGGGCATCTTAGTAACAACCAATTCGCTGATGAGAGTGCCTTGATTAGTAACCCAGAGGAAGAGTTACAGCTCATCAAAGAGTTCGCAACGAAAATAGAAAATATGGTCACTTGACAGGACACTCGCAAATTATCTCCGGAGACAAAAAATCCTATTAAGAGACGACAAACCATGAAACCTATTATGCAACCGACGAAATGGAGGTATCAAAGCTTTCGACGTTAATCAATGCGCTAAAGGTAGCTGATGTCAGAAGGAAGAGCAAGACAGTATTTGAGCAGGCTGCAAAAAGCGGCACAAGCCTAAAAGCAACGATTGCAAACTTGCGCATAGGCAATAATCGGATATATGCATTAAGGAACGAGGATGACAATATCATAACCAATTTGAATAGGATAGCCGAGGTGGTGAAGAATTTCTACGGAGATTTCTAAAGAAGCCAAAACACCCAATATGATATCGTGAGGAACAAGACCAGCCCAGATGAATTCAAAATCTTACCAGTAACGACAGGGTTAATGAGGAAAACCCTAGAAGGAATGCAAACAGGCAAATTTGCCGTTGAGAATATGTTAACGACCGAGCTCCAGAAAGATGGCAGAAAAATGGTGTCAGAAAACCTGGACACCTTTTATACGAAGTGTCCCTTGACGGGAAGTGTGCCAGAATCTTGTAAGTACGCCAACATCTTAATTCATACAGAGGGGTACTTCGAAGACTTGAAAAATCACAGGACGATCAGCTTACTGCCCATTCTCTACGAAGAATTTACAAAAATGTTAGCTAAGAGAATTAAGGTGACATTAGAGCAACCAAAAGACCAAGCAGAATTTCGTACAGACTACTGCACAATAGACCATATTCATACTATCACTCAAGAAATAGGCAAATTCGCGGAATACAACAAATCCCTATTCATATTCTTCACATATTACGAGAAGGCGTTCGACTCAGTCGGGACATAGCAGTAATGCAGGCACTATGAAATCAGAGCATCAAGCAACCCTACATAAGCATACTAGAAGATATCTACAGTGGATCCACAGCCACTATGGTTCTCCATAAAAAAAGTAACAGAATCCCAATAAGAAAAGGTGTAAGGCAGAGAGACACAATTTTTCTAATGCGTTTCACCGTGTGTTTACAGGAGGTTTTAACGACGCTAGATTGGGAAGAGTTAGGCACAAGAGGTAATAGACAGTATCTTAGTAACATTCGATTCAGTGATAAGATTGCCTTGATGAGTTACTCAGAGGACGAATTACAGCTCATAATTACTGAACTGCACACGTAAAGCAAAAAAGTCAGTCTGACAATAATATGCACAAAACTAAAGTAATGGGCAACGCTCCGGTAATAAAATGGCACTTTGAACTATGTTTATAGAGATGCTGGAAGTTGTAAAAGAATATATCTACTTAAAACAGGCAGAAACCGCGAAGCCGAACCATCAGAGTGAAATAATCAGAAGAACAAGAATAATATATATATCATACGGCAAACATTCTCAAATTATGAATGGTAATCTGCCACTAACCCTCATGAGGAACGTATATAACAGTTGACTCTTGCCAGTACTTACCTACAGAGCAGATGCCTGGAGGCTTATAAAGAGGGCTCAGCTTAAATTGAGGACGACGCAGGGAGTGATGGAAAGGAAAGTGATGTGTGTAACTTTAAGAGACAAGAGGAGAGCAGAGTGGGTCAGGGAACAAACTGGGGTTAAGGATATCATAGTTGAAATAAAGAAGACGAAATGGGCATGGGCTGGGCACGTACCACATACGCGAGATGGCCACTGGTCATTAGGAGTAACTTACTAGATTCCTAAAGTAGGCAAACACACGAAGTAAGAGACAGAAAGTTAGGAAGGCCGATGAGATCAAAAAGTTAGCAGGCATCGCGTGGCAACGCAAAACACAAGACCGGGTTGATTGGCGGATCACGGGAGAGGCTTGGACCTGCAGTGGACGTAGTCAGGCTGATGATTATAATTATTGCAGCCCATTGTGACGGCAAAAAAAGCCTACTTCAAGTAATCCTCCCCCCCCCCTCAACCGTTAGCCTCCATCCAAGTGTCTCCTTCCCTTTAAGCAGGTATGGATAAAGTTGCTCCCTTCTTCCCTTTTTCGCCACCACTCCTGTTGAATTAATGCATGTGGCTTAAGATTGGCTTCGTGGTTCATCTTAAGGCCTTCTTAATCCACGCATGCACGGGGCTTAAGATTGGCTCTGGGGTTAATCCCTGCGAGCTGACGGTCCTATTTTTGATGCAAATATAAGTCGAAGAACTAGAATATCGAAGGTGCTCTTGCGCACCACAAAATACCTTTCAGCCAACCACTTGATGTGTTTACTTTTCTACAAGCACGAGCGTTTTAGACATCACCTAGCGGTAGTTTCACTGATAACTAGTTGAATTCTTGTAGTAAATATAATTAGGCCTTCCTCTCGCAGCACTCTTATTCTACAGCACCACCGCTTACCCTTGCGCCCGGGTCTCCATATATTGAGGTAGAGGCAGTCGTCCGAGTTAGTCGTGGCCACTGTCGGCAGCCTCGGCAAAGGTCTCCATGGGTACTGCGGACACGAGGGCACACCTCCAGGGCGTAGCGCCATGCCCGGCCGGTACTCCACGAAGGCGGCCTCTGCAAAGCGCCCCGACTTTCCTACAATGCCGAACGGGATGCCAAGGTACTCGGTGACGTTGCCATCAGCACTGCTGCTGGGGAAGCTCTCGCAGTCGTCGACCCTCCTGATGGCACCTCCAAGACTGTCCACCAGGGGCATCAGGTGAGCTCTCGGTGGACCACAGAAACCGGTACAGAAGCGCCAGCAGAGCACATAGCGATAGAGTGGACGCAGTAAAAAAGACTGCGAAGAAGCACAGTGTTACGATATTCCGAATAGATGTCATTATAGCAATTGAAGTAAGCATGTAGAAATGGCTTCTTTTAAGAGAAACGTATTCGGCATTAACGGCTTCATGAGAGAGAAAAATGGACCAACACTGACACCAGTGGACTGCATTTGTCAAGTTCGGTAGCGTTTTCGTCTAGCTGGCTTCGGGGGCGTAGCGGAAGGCAGTGCGACATCTGGCGCGCTTCCCATAATAACACAAGGTTTAGGCATAAGTGCATTCTGTGGCACATCTCCGCATATATATATATATATATATATATATATATATATATATATATATATATATATATATATATATATATATATTGAGGCAAAGCTTTCGAACAGTGGGTCGTCCTCTCCAGTGCCTTCTAGTGGGTCGCCCTTTTCATAAGAAAAAGAGCAGCTCGTGCATAGAGTCGGTCCCCGGATTCACTGTCGCTGTCGTGGATCATCAACAAGTGTCCGCCAATAAACGTCTTAACAATGTGGTGGAGAGTGCTGTCCCCTTCAAACATCTTTGGTTCACATTCGATGCCCTTGGAGCTTTAATCCCGTACCGTACCTTCTACCATGCACCAGGACGCCGCTCAGCAAACGCTCCATCCTACGCCGACGCCATGTCCTGGTGTCCCCCGTATCCGAGACCCTCCTGTCTTCACCGGCGCGGATGGCACCGACGTCGAGGACTGGCTCGCCATGTACGAACGCGTGAGCGTCCCCAATCATTGGGATGAGGCAGCTAAACTTGGTAACCTGTTTTTCTACCTCGCTGGTGTGGCCGGAATGTGATACAACAACCACGCATCTGATTTCCTGACTTGGTCCGCTTTTAGGACCGCTGTCGTTGACGTGTTCGGCCGTCCTACCGTTCGTAAACTGCAAGCCGAACAGCGTTTACGTGAACTAGCACAGCAGACCGGCGAGTCCTTCACAAGTTACATCGAGGACATCCTTGACTTGTGCAAGAAAGTCGACCTGAACATGTCAGAGGCTGACAAAATCACGCATGTTCTAAAAGGCATCGCTGACGATGCCTTCACCATGCTCCTGGCTAAGAACCCTCATACTGTGGCAGAAGTCATTACATTACGCCAAAGTTACGACGAGCTGCGGCGGCAGCGCTTGATAACCCGTCGACCGCCACCACGTGATCCTGGTCTCTCGGCTTTGTCAGCGGTTCCTGAACACACAACCTTGCTCGCCGAAATCAAGTCATTATAGCGTGAGGAAGTTGTCCGCCAGGTCTCTTTACTGGCTTTTGCTCCGCCGCAACATGCTCAGGAGCCATCAAGTACACTTCTACCTCCGCTCTGCCGAGTCATTCAGCAGGAAATCGCGCAGGTCGTTCCAGAATACCACCAGCCGCTTCCTGTATCCGCGCCACACAGCTACGCCCAAGTTATAGCCAGGCCGCCCCCACCGATTTCTGTGGATTGCCCTCCAAGTTACACCAAAACCACCGCGAGGCCCCAGGCCTTCGGAGAAACTGTGTCGCCTACATGCGCCGACGTCACCCACGGGCCCCGAGTGCCACCCACCATGCACTCATATCAACAGCCGGCTCGCCCATCGCGTTCTGCGACATGGATGGGACCCGCGAACAGATGGCGCACTGCTCACAATCGCCCCATCTGCTTTGCTTGTGGTCGCGTCGGTCATGTAGCACGCTATTGCAATCGTGTGCAGCAACCGCAGGTCGCCTCGAACTTTCCCAGCCAATCAAGCTGCTCTTATGACCAACCGCAGCCTATGTCACCGTCGTCCCGCCCCGCTCCGTCTACCCGCCGTTCGCCATCTCCGCGTAGTCACTCACTGTCGCCGATGCGGCCACGTCCACTCAAGGACGACCAGGAAAACAAGTCGTCGCAGTCCACGAGGCAAGGGCTGCGACGCTGTCGAACTGCGGAAGCCCTCAGGAAAGCCCATCGAACGTGATAGACGTACTTGTGGATGGCGTTCGTGCATCTGCCCTTGTAGATACTGGAGCCGCCGTATCCGTCATGGACGCAAAACTTAGCCGATTACTGCGCAATGTGACCAAGCCACTCTCCGGGCTCTCCCTCCATACAACCAGCGCCCAAAGCATTCACCCTACGGCGATGTGCACAGCCCGCCTTATGATTCAGGACGTGATGTATGCGGTCGAATTCATCATAATTCCTTCATGCTCTCACGACGTCATCCTAGGATGGAATTTTCTCTCCCGCCATGACGCCGTCATTCATTGCGCACCAGCACAAATAGAACTCACACAATTCTCTTCTTTGACGCCGGCCGACAGTCCATCTGCTGAAAGCAAGTTACTTGTCAGAGATGACACCCAAGTGCCTGCACACTCGTCCGTGGCGGTGTCGGTCTACTGCGCAAGCCTTTCTGACACCGCTGCACTCCTCTCGCCATCTCATCGTGTTTTCATCAGAAAAGGCTTGCTGGTTCCTTTCGCGACCGTGCAACTCACTCACGGCAGCACCACTATCTTTATAGTGAACTCATCCCCGTACAGCATTACGTTGGTGCGAGAAGAATGTCTCGGCAGCATAGAACCCATCGAAGACGAACAAGTTATGGAACAAGTTATGGATCAACTCGATGACATGCACTGCTCAAGTTCCAGTACGCTTAGTGCTGTTTCGACATCTGCTACTCCATCCGATGATGTATTCGGTCCCTCCATTCCCGACAACGTTACCCCAGGCCAGCGTTCCCAGCTTCTGGGCCTGTTGGAAGAGTTCCGGTCTTCTTTTGATGTCGCCCAACCTTCTCTCGGCCGCACATCCACCGTTACGCATCGCATCGACACAGGCACACAGCCACCAGTGAGACAGCGTCCATATCGCGTATCTCCCAGAGAACGCCATGTAATCAACGAGCATGTCGATGACATGCTTCGCCGTGATGTTATTCGACCCTCTAGCAGCCCCTGGGCGTCTCCTGTCGTTCTCGTCGCGAAGAAGGACGGTTCTGTGCGGTTCTGTGAGGACTACCGACGCCTCAACAAGATCACTCGTAAGGACGTGTACCCACTACCGCGGGTAGATGACGCGATTGACAGCCTGCAAGGAGCAGAATTCTTTTTATCCGTCTATTTGCGCTCAAGGTACTGGCAAGTACCTATGGCTGAGGACGCTCGACCGAAGACCGCTTTTGTCACCCCCGACGGCTTGTACGAATTCAACGTCATGCCGTTTGGGCTGTGCACTGGGCCCGCCACCTTTGAGCGCATGATGGATACTGTTCTGCGTGACCTGAAATCGCACACGTGCCTGTGCTACCTTGATGACGTCGTCATTTTCGCTCCGGACTTCTCGACGCACCTTCAACGCCTACGGCATGTTTTAACGCGGCTGAGTGACGCCAGTCTGCAACTGAACCTAAAGAAGTGCCGATTTGCAGCTCGGCAGCTGACAATACTCAGCTGCGTCGTGTCCAAGGACGGAATTCTCCCTGATCCAGCTAAGCTTCGGGCCGTGGCCGAGTTCCCCATGCCGACATCCGTCAAGGAACTGTGCAGTTTCGTAGGGCTGTGTTCCTACTTTCGGCGCTTCATTCGAAACTTCGCGACAATTATATCGCCGCTGACGAAGCTCCTTGGAAGTAACGGGCCTTTCCATTCGTAGTCATCACAGTGCGACGACGCTTTCACAACGCTCCGTCGTTTGTTGACGTCGCCTCCCATACTCTGCCACTACGACCCTACGGCCCCTACAGAGGTACACACGCATGCAAGTGGTGTCGGCCTTGGTGCTGTCCTTGCGCAGCGCAAATCAGGATTCCCGGAATATGTCGTGGCGTATGCAAGCCGTACGCTTACTAAGGCCGAGACCAATTACACCGTCACCGAGAAGGAATGTTTGGCAATCGTCTGGGCCCTTACGAAGTTCCGACCTTATTTGTATGGTCGCCCATTTGATGTCGTCACCGACCATCACGCACTATGCTGGTTGTCGTCATTGAAAGATCCCTCAGGCCATCTCGCCCGGTGGGCACTTCGCCTGCAAGACTATGACATCCGCATGCTGCACCACAATGGAAGGCAACATGCTGACGCCGACGCCCTGCCACACTCTCTCTTGCCTGACGACAATGCTCACAACTCCGCGTCTCACCTTGCCATTTCTTCCATTAGCATTCATACCATTGCTACTGAACAGCGCTAGGATCAATGGATCGCCTCACTGATCGACTTGCTGGCTGATCCATCCACTCCATCCACTCGCGCGTTGCGTCGTCAAGCCCACCATTTCGCCATTCGCGACGACCTCCTCCACAGGCGCAATTACGATGGTGACGGCCGCCAGTGGCTACTAGTCATACCTCGCAGTATGCGCTCTGACATATGCGAGTTCTTTCATTCCGATCCACAATGTGCGCACTCCGGGGTATCGAAGACTTACCACCGCATTCGCCAACGGTACTTTTGGCGCGGGATGTACCGCTACGTGCAGAAATTCGTTCGCTCCTGCATAGAGTGTCAGCACCAAAATGCTTCAACGCACCTGTCACCGGTAGGTCTGCAACCTCTACCTTGCCCTGCCAGGCCCTTTGGGTGCGTTGGCATCGATTTCTATGGGCCACTTCCACTGACGTCGGCTGGTAACCTCTGGGCCATTGTCGCTGTGGACCACCTCACGCGATACGCCGAAACGGCCGCTCTCCCCGCGGCTACAGCAAGCGATGTGGCCTCCTTTCTGCTCCAACGATTCATTTTGTGACACGATCCACCACAGGAACTGCTCAGTGACCGAGGCCGCGTCTTCCTGTCAGAAGTCATTGAAGCCATTCTTGAAGAGTGCAACGTTGTTCACCGCAAAAATGTTGCTTACCACCCGCAGACGAATGGCCTCACCAAACGCTTGAACCGTACGCTCGGCAACATGCTCTCTAAG